TTTTTGGCTTTGACTAACTTTCGTAGGGGGGTCGGGTCCTTGTTAATTTTTTTAACATAGGTGTGTTTTCGGCAATTAGAGATTTCACGGTGGTAGTTTTTGCAAAAAAACCCTTTAATAAATTGTATAATTAATTAATTTGTTTGTATTATTTCTCTCGGTGCATTTAGCATAAACACGAATAGGCGGCAAATGTATACTTCACTCATGATCAGAGCTGATAATCATCGTGATGTGCTACGCGAGAAGAGGTATGAGAAAGGATAAACAAGCTACAATAGTGAAAACTAATAAAGATCATAATCAAAATATATGCTTGTTTATTGTGTGTTTGTAAATCTTTTTTTGGTTTTTCCTAATAGTCAATAAAGTTGATTGTTCTATATGTATTCTTTTTTCTTTCTTATCGTTATTGGGGAAGTTTACATTATTGGTTGGGTATAAATTGAATAAGTTCAAATGATTGCTTGCTTAATTATCGATTTGAGTAATTGTCGTTATTTTAGGTGAGCTCAATTTGTTCTATTTGAGCGCAAGTTCTACACTAAAGTCATACAATCTTTGAACAAACTTTTAAATTTTATGTCGAACTATATATATCTAGATTTTCAATTTTGATTTTTGAGTAAATGGTCACACATTGAAAATGAATTTTGTAGATACAAATTTAGCTTATTAATCTTAGTTTCAAGTACATATAATATTAAAATAATTACTTTTATTTTTATTTGCAAAAGAAATCAGAAAAAATGGTATATTCCGATTTGCTCATTATAATATATAATCATATATATGTATATAGTTGGATGAGTAAGATATATATGAGATATATAATGAATAACACGTATTTGTGGTGACATGGGAGAGAGACGGGGTTATGTGTTAAGTGAATAATTTACATTTATTATATCTTTTAATGCGAGCTTTTGGTTCATTTTTATTGATTTTTTGTGCTTAATGACTTGGTTTGTGTGTTTTAGGTGCTTATTGAAGAATAGAAAGAATTAATGTCCCCATGGTAAAAAATGGAGCAAAAATCAGGCAAGGATGAAAAGAGTAAAACATAAGGCCAAAGTCAAGCTAGAAGGTCGTCTGGAATTTTACACTTGAAATTCAGACGGCGTCCGAATAAACATAAAGAGAGAAAAAGTTTCGTGATTTGAGACCGCCGTCTGAGTGTTACACTTGAAATCCAGACGACCGTCCAAGACAATTCGTGGCCAAATTTTTTGGAGTTCAATTTCACAAGGAAAGCACCCCTTTTTAATCCAAACCTTGTACTATTCAAAATGAAGAGGAATTTTTACATAGTTTTTAGATTAAAGAAGCAAGAACGTAGACGAAGAATTTGAAGACTTTAAGTATAGTTTTTATCTTTCATAAATTTTTATTTTGTTTTGAATTTAATCACGAGTGGCTAAACTATTTTCTTCTAGGATTTTATTTGAATCCTATGTGGGATTTATGAACCCTGTTCTATGATTTTATGCAAGTTTTAATTCTGAATTATATCTTCTACTTGTTTATTAAGCGCACGAAACTGGCCACTTTATGTGCTTATCTGTTATTGTTTAACGCTTGAATCGGAAGATCGGTTTAATAATTAAAACTTTGGTAGAAGAACCTTTGTTGTGCTATCATAGGAATATAGTCAGCCTCTTAGGTACCCATTGTTGAGATTTATGTTTAATGTTGTGTTCTAGATCTAATTGCGTAGGATTACAATAATTTGATCTAGAATATTAGAATCATACTATAAGCAGAAGCGGTTTATTATTAAATAAGCATCTCATGTTTATAATTCGCGTTAATCACTTGCATAATTGAAGAAATTGGGGACTTATAAATAATCACATCGGGAAAGATAAAATCATAGGCTTGCTTAATCTGATAATCTTCGTGTTTATTTTCTTTCTTGTCATTTGCTTGCTTAATTTGCTTTAGTTTAATTTAGTTTAATTTAAATTAATTAATCATCTTTCGACTGTGTTGGATGGGCTTGATTGATCAATGGTTAGGTCAATGTTGGGATCGACTTCTAACGAGTGGATATACAAGACGGGATATACATATTAACAAATTAATCCACAACAAAAAGAAAAAAAAGTTTGCTATCTATTTTATTATTTTATTTAAATGGTATTTTATTTTATGTTTAAAAATAATAAATACACTGTAAAATAAGACCTCACTTTGGGTAAAACTATTGGCCCATCTCACGCAAATGAGGTTCAATTATACAAATATTTTGCTCGAGTTTGTATTCCTTCAAATTTTACACATAGTTTTTTTATTAATTAATATTGAATAACTAATAAATCAATGCTTTGCACGGTTACGGAGAAATTTATAGATCTGTTAAAGTCCAAATTAAGTGCCGAAACACATTGCGATAAATGGTTTGAAAATATTTGTGTATTTAAAGTTTTAAGTTAAGAATTATATATGAATTTACCATTAACTGTTTTGATGTAATTAATATTTTGTTTATCAAAATATGCACTTAGTTTTCATTAACTAATGAATAATATACATATCTAATAATAAGTGGATATTTTGCGCGATCACAAACAAACTTATAAGCCTCCGTTAAAGTGCAAAGTTTGCGCCACGTTACTATAAATATTTTGAAAATTAAAAGCTTGTGTATTGAGTTATAGTTATTTCTTTAAATTAAAGTAGATAAATAAATTTAATAATGTATTTTTCTAGACATATACTTGTTGCATACGTGAAATTTGCATGCATTAAATAAATGTTTTATTGATTAATCTGGAATAACAATATTGTCGATATGGTAATGGATTTTTTATGTTGGATGCATATATCGGACGTATCAGTTTACTTGTAATCAAATTTTGTCATATTTTATTGAAAATATACTTATAAACACTCGATCTATAATCACGTTACATGCACTAAATTTGCGCCTTCGAATGATTTATGTGTTTCCCAAATCCAAATAATTTTTACTTCATAACAAATGTTCCCATCTCATTTTCATTGCAGCCTTCATAGTTCAATATATTGACAACATTAGATAAAGTGCACAACCATTATTAATGCAATTATTTTTTGAAACAAGAGAACAAGCCAATTTTAACATGTAGATATTGGTGTTTAAACGTCTTTTTCCATGTTTTGAAGTTTGATTTTCTCTTTAAAATTATTTGAATTATAATAGTTAATGCAATTAAAAAAAATCAACTATATAATTGAACATCCATTGGTGTCAACAACTCCTCTAAGATTGTCTTCTCTATTATATTATTGTGATCATCTTAGGCTGCATCATAATTAAACAATGTATAAGAAGATAGAGAAATCAGATAAGGAAAATTTCAGCTTGGGTTATGATTTGTTTATATTTAAGTGGGCAAAATTACATTTTATGTCCCTAAACTATACCACCAAAATGATAATTGTCCTCAAACTTTTGCATCCACGAAATATATCCTCAAACTTGCCAATTTTTAACAATTTGTGCTCCGCCGTTAACTTTGCCAGTCAAGTTAAACGGAATGTCACATGTGGCACACATGATAATGTCGACCAGGCTTACACCCTACATTGATTTCGCTGATTGAACATGACGTGGAGTGACACGTCATTCTCCCCCTATTTCAATTATGGAAACCCCTAATTTCTCATTACCTAATTCACCGAACTTGATCCAATAAACCCCAATCCCGAATTTCCTGCAGAAATCTTCAAATTGAGGTGAAATTCGGCATCAAAAAGATCGTCTAACCTTAATTTCGCAAATAATCGAATATTTGTGGAACTGAAACATCGCAATTGACCAACAATCTTCGATTTTAGTAAGTTTCTTCAAAGTTCTTATCTTTGAAGTTCGGTTCTGGGAATTTGGGATTTGTTATGGGTTTCTGAATTTTGAATTCTGTACGATTTCGAACAAGATTGAAGATCAGATTCTAAATTGGGAGTGTGTTTACGGGATTGAAAGCAATTTTGAGATGTGATGTCTGGGGGTTCAGGTGTGAAAAGTGAAGTGAGGATTGGGGATTTGAGAAATTTTAGAATTGGGTTTAGATCGGCTGATTTCTCTTGAGCTCGACATTCGACGGCCACGTCGGCATCACGTGCGCCACACGTGACACTTGACAGACGAAGTTAACGACGGAACACAAATTGTTAAAAATTGGCAAGTTTGAGGACATATTTCGTGAATGCAAAAGTTTAAGGACAAAAAATATTTTAGTGGTAAAGTTTAGGGACATAAAATGTAATTTTCCCTATTTAAGTGGGTGCAAAAAAATTTGAAAAAAATATTATGATTATTTAGTGTTTGCTTGTACCAGCTAATTTTTTTTAAAGTTTTTGGCTAAAAACAATTAGATATATGAATTTACCATTAAATTTCCATGTATATTGTACACATAATTTTCATTAATGAATATGAATAACTAAGAGGATCATGCTTTGCGCCGTCAAGAATAATTTTATAGGTCCCTTAATGTGCAAATTTAGCGCTAAAATATTATTGAATTTTTTTGTGCATTCAAAGTTTTAGGATAAGAAATATTATATCATATGAATATACATACAATTTTAGAAATAAATTATTTCTGCAACACTAAAAAAAAAATTAAAGAAAAAAAAAATAATCGGTTTGTGACTTTGTTCGTGGCTTGTATAAGTTTAATCGAATTTAATTTCATATTTGAAATACGTTTTCTTGGATTCCGTTGTTATCAATAAGTAAATCGATTTACAAAAAAAAAAACAAATTAGAAAAAAAAGAAAAAGAAAAAACAATTTCCCGCCAAATTCAAGAAGGCGTACAACGGTTGCACTGATCATCCCCAAGGCCCAAACGGTTGCGTTGCAATTGCACCAAAACTGAAAAATGGGGTTCGAAATATTTGAAACTGAACCAACGCCACCGTTCGCAATTTCACACACACCTTTTCAAATCTATAAAAATCCACCGTACCCACAAATCCATTTCTCATCTCTCATCAAAACCTGCACCAACAATGACAACCGGCGGCGATAATGGAGGATCTTCTTCTTCTCCCAACACAATTGGTGAGAGCCCCAGTCGCCGCCGCAATATCAGTGGTGGTGGAGCAAATGCTTCTCCGCCTCCGCCTCCGCCTCCTCCTCCAGCCAGCCCCCCACGACTGTGGCCTCCTGTCATGGGGATTCCCGGGGTGTCAGCCTTCACCCCGTACAACAGGAATGCTCCACCCCCGCCGCCTCCTACAAACCCAGGTGTGCTTTATAATCCGCGTCCCGCCGGCGGAGCAGCCCTGTTTGGATTTGGAGGCGGCCTTGGATTCCAAGGTGGCCAGGCCTTGGCCGTAGGAGGCGGAGGCAGCGGTGCACCAGCGGGAGGTGCGAGGGTGGGCGGCAGCCTGGCTGCCAGAAAGAGAGTCCGCGACGGCGCGGCAGGTGGAGGCGTTGCGGGAGGGAGGAATCCGCCCGAGGGCGCAGGCAACCCGGTAAACTGTAGTGTCTGCGCGAAGGAATTCATGTCGCCGAAGGCTCTCTTCGGCCACATGCGTTCCCACCCCGACAGGGGGTGGAAGGGTGCCCATCCACCACCATCGTTTCGGGCCGAGGAGGAGTTTGCCGACCTCCGTGGCGTCAATCATCGCCCCGCCGGAGGGGCTGCCGCCGCTCCTGCTGCCGCTGTGGAAGACGGCGGCAATGATGCTGTAGTAAGAGCGGAAGCGCCGCCGCAGGAAGGAGGTGCACGGGAGGATGGCGGCGAGGAGCCGCCAAAGAGAAACTACCTGCTGCCGGATCTTAACGAGGGCTGAAGAAGGGACGGCGCAGTATGAACATGGAAAATCCATTCTCTATATATATATATAGAAATATGGTTTTTCTTTTTATGATTTTTTTCTATTTTTTATTTCTTTTGAGTTTTGATTTTTTTTAACTATACTTTTGTATTCATGGATGGGATGTATATTTTGCGTGCATGCATTCATATGTATCTCATCTATTTTACTATCAATAATATCACTCTGCTGTTTGGCATTGAAGTGCTACTTATTAAACACATTTTCAATGATAATTCTCTGTTTGTATTATTTCTTTGTTACATTCTCTTTTTCATGCATATATGTATATATATATATATGTATATATATATATATATGTATATATATATATATATATATATATATATATATATATGTATATATATATATATATATATATATATTATTTATTCAAGGTTTAATTAGTAGCTTTGGTTTCATTGCCTGAAGCAGCAATTCATGTTAGGGAATGTAATAAATTACACACAAAATTGTATACAATTAAGTACGTCTTTTTGAGAGAGAATATTTAATTAAGTACTAAAAATGTAAAATTCGAGTATGAAGGGGCGAGTAAATAATTGTAGATAATTAAGAGAAAAATAAGTGAAGAGAAACAGTCAGATTAGTGCTGAAATCATCAAATCAGATTAGTGGCATTTTCTGTTAATTCCGTTGTTAATTTTCCGCGCAAAAAATTGTGTTCCATTCATTCGATTTGAAAATTCTTCAATTTTTCATCCAGAAAGCAAAAGGTAAAAATAATAATCATTTCTGCAAATCGCAGATCCAATTAAATAATTGACAAACACTGATAATGATGGAGAAGTCGGATCATGCACACAAGCTGTACAACAGAATGCGCCTTTGGGAATTCCACGACCAATATTTCGTCGAGCCCACCGACGGCTCCTCCGCCCCCTTTCTCTCTATCAGCCGCCTTGATGGCTCCTTCAATCTCACTGGTTCTCTCTCTCTCTCTCTCTCTCTCTCTCTCTCTCTCTCTCTCTCTCTCTCTCTCTCTCTCTCTCTCTCTCTCTCTCTCTCTCTCTCTCTCTCTCTCTCTCTCTCTCTCTCTCTCTCTCTCTAATTTTATTTATAAATTTTATGGTTGTGTTGTGCAGATGAAGTACCGCATTGCAATCCGGTTCGTGTCCCGAAAATTTGGACGATATTTGGTGTGGTTGGGACACTCAAGCTGCTGGCAGGCATGTTTTTTTTTTTTTAAACTTCGTTGTTGTGTATTTGCCTCTCTTTTCATATATATATATGGTGATTATATATGTATGGATCATTATTCTTTTATTCGAGTTTTTTGGCCAATGGTGAAATTTCGGTTGTATACGAGGTGAATCGATCATCCCCGTCCCGTATCCGTATGTTTCTTTGAAACTCGTCTTTGATCTTTTCGTTGATTACATTGATTAGACCAAATTCGTTAGTTAGTGATTGATATTGGACTTAAGCCAGTGGCGCAACCAGCATCGGACAAATGGGGGCCATGGCCCCTCCTCATTTCTCAAGTTATGTGTATAATAGGTTTAACCCCCGGAAATTTTTAATGTGTTCGGCCCCTCCGCTAGTGTAACTTAATTTTATATTCTATGAAGTTGAAAAGAGTATCATTCCTCCTATTTGTGATTATCTCATAATGCGATTTTCATCTCTGACCATTCCATCCTCCAGGAAATGGATACTGAATAGTACAACATTGTATACGAGAGGGCAGTAATTTTACATTTTTATTACAATTGAGTAATCACCTCGTCGTCGGTTGTTCTTTTCCATGTTTACAGGGAGTCTAAAATGTGTAACAAGATAATTCTTTAAACCCCAATGGTATTGCTATATTGAAATTAGAGAGGGAGATAAATCGAACCTCATTCTAGAGGTTGTAACGTAGCGATTATTGGTAAATGTTCGATTTTGTTATTATATGGAGTGTGTCACTAGATATTAATTTAGAAGAATTCAAGAGGTTTCTAATATTTGAAATCTTTAGAATTCATGTTTCCCATGATCTTGATGTTCATGTCTTTTTTAGGGTCGTATTTGTTGGCGATTACCGGACGTGAATGCGTCGGGTTTTATCTGGGTTACCCCATCTTTAAAGTCGTTGCAATGAAGATTTTTCCTTGTGATAATTCTCTCAAGAATGCTTCAGAAGAACAAGTATACTATTCAAAAATTATTTTTCATTTTACATATCGAGTATATGCATAAGTTTTTACCGTTCCGATGCTCTATATGTAAACATTAATTTTTTTTTCCGTCAGAGATGGATGGAGAGAGAGTTTTCACACTTGCTTAGTGTTTCAGAGGAAACCCCGGGCCTTTATTTCTCTTATGATGTGAATATATCATTGAGGTGAGTTTTTTCTCCGTAATGTGTGCTTGTTTATTCATTAGGAAACATTAATTGGTATCAGAAACTTTATGTTGCGTTTTTCCTTATAAGAAAATCTATGTTTCAATTTGTTGTTCCTACATGTGTTTTTCTTTACTGCGTTGTCGAACTCTTTTCTAGATTTTCTTACATTTTCCTGCAAAAATTCATAAAAGATAGAAAAATATAGTGAAAATTTCTATTATATCCGAATTTGGAACTAGAGATTATAAACTAATGTAGTTTCCGAGATTTCGTCAATTCCGAAAAACAGAATGAATTTTTGCATTCCGGTTTTTTTGGAACGGAAATTACAACCCATTTTTTTAATTCCAAAAAGAATTGGAAATTTTCGGAAAAAAGCGATTTCTGATCAATTCCGTCTGATTGTCTTGCATTCGCATACTCACAAGATCGATGATATGTAAGAGAAAATCGATGGTATGGCAATACAAAAAAATATATATGGATAGTAATCAATGGTTGCATTTGTCTTTTGCAGCACTCAGCAACTGCACGATTTGGGCGATGAATCGAAGTTGCTTCCTCTTTGGAGACAAGTAATATTTCTCGATACCCTTCTGCATTATTCCGCATTGTCCCGAATACTATTTCTTACCCGGTGTGTCGTTATTTATTTCCGCAGGTGGACGCTCGGTTTCTTTGGAACAGCTACATGTTGGAAGTTCTCATAGATAATAAGGTTCGGCTTCTAGCTTGTAAAACCAATTCACTTTTTCCCCGACCGAAAATTCCCGTTAAATATCTAACGACTGATATATATATATCGTAGTTGTGCAGCTTGATCCATACTTACTTCCTGTCATGCAAGGGAGTATCCTTTTCAAATACGATCGATTTTCTGCACCCCGTACCGAAGCTCGATCATCATATAATTGTATCGTGTAAAGTCGTTTAATTAAGCCTTAACTAGCCATCAGGTTTTCAGAAGTTCCAGTCTGCCATTGGAAAAGACGTCCTCGACGTCACGCTGATTGCAAGACGATGCAATAGAAGAACCGGTAAACTTCCGTTTTCTATTTTTTGAGACAAATGATGTGGCGAGATATATCATTTTTAGCTGTCGACGTATGATAGGTGGTTTTTTATTTGAGTTCGGAGCTTGCTATATTTAACTTTTATCTATCTTGTTCCTCCGACGGGTTCTCGTTTTTTTGCGTCTTCCGGAAGGCACTCGTATGTGGAGAAGAGGAGCTGATTCTGATGGTTTCGTTGCAAATTTTGTGGAAACCGAACAAATCGTACAGATGAACGGTTACACTGCATCATTTGTTCAGGTAAATTTCTAATAAGTTAATTGTTTTCGTTTAATTTTATTTATTTGTGGAAGTACGGAGAATTCCCAAATTTAGTCCTCTCAACGATTTCGTATTGTAGGTTCGGGGGTCAATTCCACTAATTTGGGATCAGATTGTTGATTTAACATATAGGCCGAAGTTTGAAATCTTGACACTAGAAGAAGTAGTGAGTACTTTTCTAATCTTTTAATTACGGGAGTGGAGTTAGATGCTACACCTGATTATTTACATTGGGTGGATTTGAGCCGTAGATTCGATTAAACAACTACCCACTAATTAAGCACACATACACATGCGCGCGTGTGTGTGATTATGTGTAGATCTACGGTTCAAATCCATCAAGTTTAAATAACCAGGTGTAACATCTAATTTCCCGGGTAACATATGGCATATGTCTTAAACACACATCTTTGCAGCCTCAAGTAGTCGAGCGACACTTTTTGGATCTAACAAAGAGATACGGAAACGTTCATGCCGTTGATCTTGTCAACAAGGTAAGCTAATCTAAAAAAATGCAGATTACCGTATAATTGCTTATAATTGTGGAAAATTTTGTCCGGATTTATTTGTATCGTCAAACGTTACCATAATTTATCTCTAGTAATTGCTTTCTTATGTACGTACAACCATCACGAATTAGTGGACGATCGAGGAAAAAAAATCAGTTAGAAAATTATTTCATATGTATCTCTCATTTTGAAGCTTAATTATAATTCTTCTGTCGTTCTTTGAACCCCTTTCGTTGTTTCTGAATAAAGCGACCCTTGTCGTTTGGTAAGAAAATTGTGCATGCTAGACAACAGATTTGTTCTTTATTTCCGAAAGTCGAGTTCTAGAATCTTTCGTATCCTTGGTATGATTAATTTTCATGCAATTATATTTTGGATGTGGATTATGTCGTCGTATTATTGTCGTAATTCACTGAACATTTGACAGCACGGAGGTGAGGGGCGTTTATGTGAAAAGTATGGCAGCGCAATGCAACATATCGGCATTGACGATGTAAGGTAAACTCACTCCATTTTCAATCTGATTATCTTACCGTAAGTTACATAGTTTGCCAGAGATCTTCGTTTGCTTTGGTCATCGCACACACAAAAATTACATGAAAAGTTAACACATATTCGGCAATGTTGTTCGCGATATGCTTTAACTGAAAAACATTTAGCAGATACTTGCACTTTGATTTTCACAAGATATGTGGGGATACCGAAATCGAGTGGCTTTCCATTCTTTATCACCGAGTCGAGGCTTTTCTCTTCCTAAACAGGTAAGCTGATCATATTATAAATGTTTTTTTCTTAAGTCTATTTTCCTCATTTTATATTGTTTTCTTGTTTTTTTTTTTCTTTTCACTAATACACTACGTAATCTTTCTAAATGTAAGTGAATTTTATTGCTCTCATATTAGCAAATAATACTTGAATATGGTTACGAGTTTCCCATGTCAATTCTTATAAAAATCGGGAATGTAGTTTTACGGAGTGTACAAAATTGAATGGGAAGCGGTAGATGGCATGAAAAAAACAATAAAGTAAAATCTTCTACGTTTGTCGCGTAAATTGGACGTAAAATTGAGATAATAAATTTTGTTTTTATGTCTTGTAAAATGTGAAATTGTTCTTTGTTACTTTGTTGGGAATTGTAGGTATTTTTTAGTAAATGACAAGGGGGAGAAAGTTCAGGGGCAAGTCGGAGTTGTAAGGACAAATTGCATCGACTGCTTAGACCGTACTAATGTCACTCAGGTATTCATTTTCTTTTTATTTCGTAACTCAAATAGATATTTTCGAAAAATAGAAGTAATCTTGCGAGGAGGCATTCGTTAACTTTGATATAATTAACATCGCCAATTTTATTTGCAGAGCATGTTTGCTCGTAAAATGTTGGAATCCCAACTCCGAAGGATCGGTGTTTTTAATGTTGGTGAATTTATTAGTGGACATCCCAATTTGGATCGAAGCTTTAAAATTTGTGAGTGTGCCCTTTACTCGGATAAATAATATAATGTGTATGTTACTTCAATTGCAACTCGCTAGTCGCTAGAAGTCGTGCCGTTAGAATTTTTGTTACTTCATCCGATTTTTGGTACGGCATATTCTTCTCGTAAATTGATGTTGTTTCAACAGTGTGGGCTAATCACGGCGACGACATTAGCATCCAGTATGCAGGCACGCCTGCTATGAAAGGAGATTTTGTCAGGTATCGTTTATCAAAATTATTTTTTACGTTCGAAGCATATCGTGTGTATTAAATTTTTCTTGCACCAATTTCTACCGGCGTTCCATAGTATACGTCGACAAATGACTCGTACTACACAAATCTTGATTTTTCAAATCAAGATTTGCCACTAATATAGGGACAGTGTAAAAGAATTTAAATTTCGTTATTAGAAATGTTTTCCCCCGATTAATATCAGATGCGGCCAGAGGACGATGCAAGGAATTGTCCAAGATAGCTGGACTTCACTAATGCGGTACTACTTAAACAACTTTCGTGACGGTACAAAACAGGTTCGCATGCTGAATTAATCCCGATAATATTCCTTTTAGTGTCTATAAATATATGCTGAATTAATCCCGATAATATTCCTTTTACTTCTTCCCGAAAGGATGCAATCGATTTACTACACGGATACTTCATTGTATCCGTTTCAAAGAATATGGCCTCTGCGATAAAGAAAGGTGGTATCGAAGCTCTAGCGGTGAGTAATCCTTTTTTTTTTCCGTCGCATGTGGTAAATTTTCTTTTATTCAGCTATCCGACATATCAATATATACGAGCTTGGTCTCAGTTATCGTCTCCGTTAACTTGAAAATTATATATCAACTTAGGCCAAACTTCAGCGGAGAGAACAGTAATTTACGAAAAAAATATAGGGTATATGATCAAATTACGAAAAACCCCCTCTTGTTTGGGTAATTACTCAACTATAAATCTTCTTACACGTCTACCCTTGCAATTTCAAATTTAGTGGAATATTCGAAATTAAATGGAATATTATCACTTTTGTACCCGTTTTATCCCATTCGAACTCCACATTTGAAGCAAGATGAACATAATGTGTTTTTTGGCTTGTATATATCAGATTGTGGTGCATCAGAAAACTGTATTTTTACACAAAACGAGTACAAACTAGAGCACATTCCATGAAATCTAGATGATTATGTTGAGTTTGACACCATAAGGGTGGAGGTGTAAGAAAAAATCATAGTTGAGGGGTAGATGTAATTATCCAAACAATAGGGTTTTTTTCGTAAATTGACCATACCTCAGGGGGTTGGTTGTAATTTACCCAAAAATATATACATTTAGTTTCGCTCGAAAATGGTTTTGCTTGAAATGCCACCCGAGAAAAATTGGCCGATTCTAATTTTACACTGTTTCATTTATGCAGTCCTTTCCGGTGGCATTTTCGTTGATTATGACTGGGTTCTTCTTCGGAACGATTTCACTAAGACAAGGTTAAAAGGCACTTAAACCTAACATCTTCTATCATATAGTTATCATGCAAAAATTTCCGCTTATCATGCAAAAATTTCAGCATTTTCGTTAATGAAAAGTTGATCTTCGTCTTCGTATATAAATACCCGGCATTTTAACTAATTTTTACTAGTCTTTTATTTTTTTTTCAGTTAGATACGATCCGTGGAATTTAGTAGTTGCAGTGATGTGGATGGGCATGAGTTTCGTTGTAACATCGTTTGTGAGGGCCAACGGTCGCGTTTTTTGTAACCGTCCTCGTTTGCACCAACCTAGATATTGAGCACTAAGGATGCTTCTCAGAAATATTATTAGTTCGTAGACATACATATTGACGAGTATGACTGTAAACATTTCTCCGATGTACACTTCATCGAGCGTAGCATAATTTTTGACCTTTTTATAGTGAAATTGTCAATTACAACAATTAATTCTTAATAAATGCATGTTGGTCAGATATTTTGTCGCAAATTAGATACTGATTGTTATTCAAATTTATGGAGCCTCTAGTCTACCCGTATTTGAGACATGCTATTTTCACCCTCAAAATATCTTATTTAATTTGACCACCAAATTAAATATATTTCCCATTTTATCCCTTTTCTTCTTTTTTCCCCTATTTTTTTTTTGGGCAAATTGCACTTCACCCCCTAAAAAATTGCCGTTTTTGCACTTTCCCCCCTAAAAATAGAAAAACGAGACTGTCCCCCTTAGAAATATATAAGTCGGTGCACTTTGCCCCAAGTCTCGATTTCCAGGCTAATTCTCGCCGGATTTTAGTAACTAGGAAGGGTATACAAGTCTTTTACGGAGTTTTTAAATGTTATAAATGTCATTGACCATTTTTTCCAACAAGTATTACCGTTTGGGGGTCTTCTTTTTCTCCTAGATCGTATAGCAAAAAAAATCCTAGGGTTCTTCTTTTACTCCCAAAATCAATTGAATCCGCGGGCAACGACCAGGTGTTTTCCATCGATCCGCAAAGGTAACAATTTTCTCCATAATTTTATCCATACCTATGATATTTTGTCTTTTGATCTGAACATTGGGGGAACTGAAATCTTGTTGAATTGGGGATAACTATGCTACATCGGTCTTTTCTCTTCTACCTTGAACTAATTAATATTGAGCTCATATGGGGTATTTAGGTTGAATTAATTTGTATTGTGCATCTTAGTGCTCTTGAGTTCATTGTTTGAATTATTAAACTGATAGTATTTACTGTTTTGTTTTGCAAGAAAAATCATGCAAAATCCAACCTTAATCCGGCAAGAATTAGCCTGGAAATCGAGACTTTGGGCAAAGTGCACCGACTTATATATTTCTAAGGGGGACAGTCTCGTTTTTCTATTTCTAGGGGGGAAAGTGCAAAAACGGCAATATTTAAGGTTTGCCCTTTTTTTTTACAGATTTATAAACCGTCCATTACTAAACTAATTAAAATATTTATAACCACCATTTCACTGGAATCCGCAAAATCTCACCATCTCCACCTTAGTGAATAATACTTTCATCAGAGAAAAATATTTTCAAATGTCAAAAAGAGCAGGAATTCACGTTCTTGGAGAAATTAAATTAAGAGTGTTTGTATGGTAGGTACTAAACTTCCTCCAAAATTGGCCAGTTTGGCTTAATATAATTTTGTTTCCTAAAAACAAATTGCATAATCTGTAGGTCATCTGATATGGAAGTTTAAATATCTTGTAATAAATATTTCATTGAAAAAAAAATAAAATAAAATAAAATAAAATAAAATAGAAATACCTTAGAACACATAGGATTAATCGATATAAGGAGGTGTGGTGAATTATAAATTTGAGGGGTATTTATGACATTTTATATATTTTTGGTGCTGAATTGAGATACTTTGAAGGTGGAAATAGTACCACTCCTATTTTATCTTACTAGTAAGTGCCACGTGCGACGCACGTAATTCCTAAATGTTGAATAAAATTTAAATAAATAAAAACATGACGTGATAATTTTAATCAAAATATATGAATGGTCATCAAAATTATTTGGAAAATTCAAGTTGATAAAATTAAAAATATTATACAACTTTGCATTTAAGTATTTAGTCACAAACCGTCTAAAACATTTAATGGAAAGTAAGCGAAAATGATTCCGTTTTTCGAATCGTGGAATCTATTTATTCCGTTTTCGTTTTCCAAGTGTTGGTTGATAGTTCTCTATTCCGGAAACTTCCATCCACCAAAGGCAAATATGGGAGATGAATTGGAGGTTCCTTGGTGTTGGCCAATCATATATATATAGCTAATGATTTAATTACTTTTAACTGTTAAAGAACGAATGGGACAAAGTTGGAATGATTTAATTTTAATTTTCAGCTTGTTTATTTTTTTCATAGTTACACAGCTTGGTTTTTTCTCTTCTTTTTCTTTCGTAGTTCCATTTTTACAAAATTGTAGGTAATTTTCAACTTGTCTTTTGGTTGGAACATTTTTGCTAAAATACATATAATTGTGTGTTTTTGAATTTTTTGTGTAAAAATGAAGAGGTTGTATTATTTTATTTTATTTTTACCGTGAGGATCGAGTAGTGTTCGAATAGCAGTTGGACTGTTTAAGATCAAGTCATATACTAATTTTAGGTATTTTTATACTGTTTTTTTTTAAATGAATGTCATGTTATTCAATGTGTAAAATGTGGTATTAGTATAATTATTAAGATAATATAATTGTGTTATTTGAGTTTTAGAACTATATATAGTAAAAAGAGTTTTAATAATACTTGTTTGATAATATTTTTTTTTAATTATTTATATATTTCTTTTCACAAAAAAAAAATAGGTGAAGTTTAATGGCACCTAATAAGAGCAGAGTCAAAGTAATCGTGTATATTGGGGTTAATAAGATGATTGGTTAGTGGAATGTAGTTGTCCTCAAAAAGCAATTTTTTTTATTTAGAAGGGATACTTCGTTCCAACTACTATTATCAAACATGTACAAATTCGAAATAGACAATACTAGGTTCACTTTGAAAGTTCGTGGAAAACTTTTTCGATTATATGGGGATAGGGTAAAATCAATGCTTTGTGAAATTAGTACGGATCAAGATTTGGAAATGTTTCTTGATCCGAAAGAAGGGAATGATTCAATGGAGATTTTCGTTCAAACCGTACCATTATACAATAACGTACCGGCTCTGTAATTAACTTTCGATCTCAATGAGCCATACAACATAGTCTCGCATTGAGTCTGGAAATGGTTGCCGTCACAAAAGGATTTTCTAGCATGGGATTTACGAATTTTGGTGCTGGAACTTCTACACCTACGAGAAATTTTGGTGCTGTAAAGTTTAGGGAGACGATCACAGTGAGAGAAGACACACACCCCATTATAGAAGAGCCAGCGGGAGATTTTACAGACATACTGGGAGATTCCTTTGGGGCCGATCCTCCTGTTGACTCAGAACCATCCGACCAAGAAGATGACGATAACGTAAACGGGGACCATGCTGATGACGAGAATTTTTCCACTGTTAATGATACTTCTGAGAATTTATTACAAAATGAAGTTCCTTCCGATGTGCCATCAGTGACAACGGTCCAAAATCAGCCTCACTTGTACGAGCCAATGCCTTTCTACTCAATGTATCATGAAGAAATTATGACGGACTCATTTGATGTCCTAGACGGGCGATTGTCAAAGTTTTACGATGATGAAGGTGCTCTTGAAAAGGGGATGATTTTCAAGAGTAAAGAACGACTCATTCCTGCAGTGAAAGACCACTCTATTCGGTTTGCTAAACGAGAGTACAGTGTGATTGAAATTAATCCAACGTATTGGAAAATGAAATGCAAACATAACAATGAAAGAACACCTTGCGGTTGATGGTTGCGATGGTCAGAGAAAGCCGATAAACATTATTGGGTGATTACGAAGTATGGTGGAGATCACACTTATATTATGGGCATAATATCTACCATCCATCATAATTTGGACATGAATTACATTTATGCGATATTGGTTAAAACAGTTCGTCAGAAACATTGTTGCGAAGTTTGGTAGCCCAACAACTTGTGTATACTCAATTGGGTTTTGAAATCTCATACCATAGCTTGTACAGTTTAAGACGATGCAAAGATAACATATATGATATTTGAGAGAGCTCAGTCGCAAAGTTGCCCAAGTATATGAAAGCATTGCAAATGATCAATCCCGGAACGATTGTGCTATGGCAGAGTGAGCTGATGAATCATCCAAGCCAGAAAGTGATCAAGTATGTCTTCTAGATTGTCCAGTATGACGATTGTTTCACCATTACTTTGGATGTCCATCTGTCCACTAATTTTTTTTTCACGAGTGGAGATGTATCGCCTGGAAAGAGTATTATGACAGTTCGGGATGGTACAACCAATGTCGTCACATCTTACAAATGTTGCTATTTCCAACCAATTACATGATTTGACTCGTCAAGGCCGATCGGGTCTTGACTGGAGCGAGTATTTGCGTACACATGTTGCTAGGGGTGGAAATCGGACGGATCGGACCGGATTCCACCCCTTCGGAAAAAAATCGATTTTTTTCGGAAGTAAAACTCAGTTCTGAGTCCGATTCCAAAAATTTCGGATAAAAAAAAAATCATTCTCATTCCGATTCCGAAAATTCCGGTCGGAATTTTGGGAATTGGCGGCGTGTTGGCGGTTTGCGGCAACTTTGTTGTTTTTTCACGACAAAGCAACATCATGCGACGATTTTATGAGAGAGAATTCATTCTCTGCTCTGAAAATGGTAGTGAAAGGGTAGATCGGCAGATCTTGACAAGAAAATAGCACACATATGTGGAGAGAAGAGGTGAGGCGAACCAAAAAAAAAAAAAAGAATAATACAAATATATAGGTTAAGAGGTGAGCTCCGGCCTGCAAGACACTACAAAAAAATTGCTTTTAAATAACAAAACAATGGTAACAACCACAAAATTTGTCACGAGAAATAGTTTGTTGTGACAAATAAAATGTGTTGTCACAAAAAACCCATGTTTTAGTAACGAGACCAAAACTGTGTTACAAAAAGAATGGTTTCGTCATAAAACATTAATGTTTTGGTGACAACTAAATATGTTGGTTACAAAAAAATTATTGTTGTTACTAAAACGGTTTTTCTAGTAACAACAGAGTATGTTCGTTACAATTACTATAAAGTTGTCACGATAAAATATATTCTTTAGTAACAACTATTAGTCTTGTTACAAGAAGTTAACAAATTACCTTTCATATTTTCTGACTTGTTAATTATATCACTAACGAAAGAAGTGCCTAGGGTTTCAATTTACACATTGTGCACACAGTCACCGCCCTGATTCCACCATCGCACA